GTCCGAGGTGCCTGCGCCCACCACACCTCCTGAGCTGCACGGCGTGACCGCCACCTGACAGAGGAAGTTCAGGGCTCTGCAGGCAGCGACTCTCGGCAGGGACAGGCTGGGGACGAAGCAGGCCTTGGGCCCAGATCCTCCTGGTTCCGAGGCCTCCTCCCGGCCCCCACCACATGGAGAGTCAGAAACAAACTCTTCCCTCCACGGGGCCGTTTTGCACAGACGCCCAAAGTACCCTGAGCGATGTCCTTCGAATCCACCTTTTCATGGTCAGTCCTGGAGAAATTAGCCCAAGGACGTAATTTAAAAAAAACTTTTTAAAGCCACATACGTAAAGATTTTCCTGGGAGGGGTCGCTATGATAACAAACATCAGAAACAGCCCAAAGGTCCAACAAGCAAGAAGGGGCCGAGAAACACGATGCATGCGTTATAGACGTTCACAGAGCAGCTAGGAGCTGTCGTGAACGCCGAGCGTGAAGAAACGTCCACCAATCAAGAGGAAAAAAGCACAGACGACCATTTTTATAACAGCAACTATATGAAGCTCTGTGTGCCCTTGTTAAAAAAGAAAAATTGGAATGCTCAGTGGGGGGAAAGGAGAAACATCTGTAACAAAAATAAATAAGTAAGTAAAACATTGGCATGGCACATAAAAAGTGAAAGTGAAAAGTTAGTGGGCTAGCTTGGTAAGTTTATGGATTTTTTAAAGAAATGTATAACTTCCTCTAATGATGTTTACGGTATTTCTATTAAAACACCTCAAATGAAGACGGGGAGAAGGCGGTGGCTCCGTGGAACATTTATGCAGGGACCCGGACCAAACTGAACATGGCGGTCAGATATCCTGTTGTTGTTTTCTGTTCTTTCCTTGTTTTGAGACTACCGGGCAGTGGATAAAACGGAAGAACGTGAGCTGTGCTGTAATCCACAGACTCTTGTTTTTCTCCTCGGTCCCTTTCCTCGCTGGCTGGTCACTCGCCTTTGCTGCCCCGCTCTAGTCCGAAGCCAGGTCAGAAAAACGAATGTCTTTCCTCGTGCATGTGTTTATTTTTGAGATCTGTTCATGGAGTCCCAGGAAATGATGATTTTTGTCAGTCCAAATTAAATGATCTGACCAGAACATTTCATATGATCCAACCAGAACAGTTCATATGATCCGACCAGAACAGTTCATATGATTCAACCAGAACAGTTCATATGATTCGACCAGAACATTTGGATGACGGCAGGATTTCACCTTAAACCGTCCTTACAACTGCTTTGGATCATTCTCTTCACTCAGATGGCCGTTCCCTCCACCCGTTCAATTTCTCTCTCTCTCTCTCTCTTTAAAAAAAAACAACTTTAATATTGCATTCTCTAGAGGGAAGGTCTGAATAACACCCCTCCAACATGTTAAAGGTAACTTACACAGACGCCTCGATCCTGCGTCCACCCAGCTATTCATTCATTCCGCAGCTGCTCACTGCGCGCGGGCTCTGCTCCTGGCGCTGAGCTAGGCCTGGGGCGCAGAGGGGCTGAGGCCCCTTTTCCCTCAGGGAACATAACCTCAGAAAGGGCTGTGTGTGTGCAGCGGCTCAGATGACCATTTGGTTTCCACTAACTGGTCGAATGACCGGTTTGGTCGTTTCTTACCAGGTGGACTGGATGTTTGCTCAGAGGGGGGTAAGTCCTCCCACACGTTACTGTTGCTCAGGACTCGCCCTGGCCAAGCGGAGGGGTCCCTTCTGAATGACCTGCGGTGTGCCCAGCCCATCCGCTGACCCGCAGGCGAGCAGGCCGAGAGCCAGAGCGGCCGACCCTCCCAGCGAGGCTCAGAAACCATGCCTGGGGCCTCGAACAGAAAAGCGAACGTGCGATACAACTTAAACCTGTTTTCCAAAGACAGAGGCGAAACTGAAAAACACACGGTGGCCATTCACTGGACAAGGGCTTCCCAGGCCTGCTTCTGGGGACGTGTCAGGCTGCAGGGTGGACTGAGGGCCCGCGAGTCTGAGAATCCGGCCGCGGCCGAAATGAGGCGGCCCACCTGGGTGAGCGGAGCCGGGACCCGAGGCCGAAAGAAACCGCTGGTCAAAACGCCCCAACGTCGCTTCCCGGCGCCCCTGAGCTCAGCTGCCCAGGGAGTTTGCCCTGACCCCAGGCGCACCCACACACCCTCCGCCCCTTCGGAGTCCGGTGGCCCCTGACCAGCAGTGACCAGGGCTTTGCCTTGCGTCCCTCCCCTGACTCGCCGAGGACAAAGATTTCAGGCGTGTTTGCACTTTGGGGGACATTCCCCACAGCACAATATCTTCTCTCCAGGTTCCCCGCTGGGCCGGGAGGGACCCCGCCACCATCCCATGCTGGTGTGAGCATGCTCAGAAATCCAAGGGACGTGGAGAAAATGCCCAGGGCTGCTGCACGACACACCCGAGAGGGAGCCAGCCATCCCAGCCGTGGGCTTCCGCTTCCTCCCTGGGCGCCCAGAGCGAGGAAACAGGCCCCGGGCGGCGGGGCGATCGGTGGTGCGGCTCCACTTGCTGGCGGCTCCAATGACCGGCCACTGCTCACTTCACGCCCTGCAGTGAGGTCCTCCTCACTCTGGAGCCCAGGCAGCCGAGGCCCAGAGAGGTTAAGGACCTCGCCTAAGGTTGCACAGCCAGGACAGGCACTTCCCACGGTCTAAGAGCAGAGTGTAGGAGCCCATGTCCCCTGAGGCCTTGTGCCATAGCTGCACGGCCTCACCAGGCCAAGGAGGAAGGCCACACAGACCACCAAGCTCGTCCCTGGCCGCCGCGCTGGGGAGTCCAAGGCACCGTGGAGCCGGGCCCTGTGCACCAATGTGTGTGCCCGGCAGCAGCACATCCTCTGTCTCCACCCGCCTCGGACCCTGGTGACGTCGACCCCTGGCTGGCTTTCCCCAGGGCAACCTCAGGGAGATGCATGAAGTCATTCCTTGCTTTGACCCCAACAATCTGGGCATGTGCGAGGAAATGGACGTGAAAAGTCTCAGTGAAAGCAGATGTTCTAAAAGGGTTTGGGGGCAACTTCACTGAGCAAGAAAAGAAGGAAGCCGAGGTCGACCTCCAACAGCAGCCTGCCCTCCGGGACGGTTGCCGGGGGTGTTGAGGCCCCTCTGAGTCTCTGTCCCCGCACTGCCGGAGGCCTGGGACACCTTGAACACCTTTGTCCAGGAGTCGCATCTGTGAGGAGTTCTCCTTGTGTTGAATTTCCACCTGCACCGCGGCCACGGCGGTGAGAGAGGAGTAGGAAGCTCCCCCTGCCCCCCGGTGTGGCAATGGCCACGGCCCCATCTGGTGAGCCGGGTGGGGCTGTGTTCTCTGCTCTCGGACGCTTGCTCTGTCCCTTCCAAGCCCTCTGCCCGACCTCGGCCCCAGCGGAGCCGCGAGGAAAGTCCACATGGTGCCTTGTCTCCCACGCCCTGGCCCAGGGTCTGAACCTCACCACCGGCTGAGCGCTGGCCTGGCCCTGGGGGTCCTCCGGTCCCCTGCGGGCGGGATGGCTGCCCTGGGCGCCCTGCTGTCCGCACGCCCGGCACTGGGTGAATCATGCCAGGCGGCCTTTCTGAGGACAGCTGTGCTCTCACAGAAAACTGCACCCGCAGACCTCGAAACCCCGGCGCTGGGCCAGGCCGGGGCCACGTCCCCAGGCAGGAGCGGAAGTGCCCTGGCCTCTCCTGCCTCCCGCTGCCGTCGAACTGCGTCCCTTGCGAGGTGAGGACGGACATTGGTGACCCTCCTCATTTCAAAGGTTCAAACGCAGCTTGTCCCTTTCCTTGCGAAAATGCACAACGCCGTCCCCCGCGAAAACACGGAGGGGTGAAAAGTGTCTGGAAACGCTTCCTCCCCCAAACGGCCATGGGGTGAGGAGTCCCCCTCGAACAGTAGTGGGGTGAGGAGTCTCCCCGAACAGTCATGGGGTGAGGAATCCCCCTCGAACAGTAGTGGGGTGAGGAGTCCCCTGTGAACAGCACTGGGGTGAGGAGTCTCCCATAAGTGGTAGTAGGGTGAGGAGTCTCCCCCGATCGGCACTGGGTGAGGAGTCCCCCCAAAAGGACAGTAGGCTGAGGAGTCCCCCCGGAAGGGCAGTAGGGTGAGGAGTCTCCCTGGAATGGCAGTGGGGTAGAGTTCCCCCAGAATGGCAGTGGGGTGAAGAGCCCCCCCAGAATGGCAGTGGGGTAAGGAGTCTCCCCTGAATGGCACTGGGTGAAAAGTCCCCCCAGAACGGCAGTGGGTAAGGAGTCTCCCCTGAATGGCACTGGGTAAAAAGTCCCCCCAGAACGGCAGTGGCGTGAGGAGTAAGTTCCCTTGGCTGCTTGTTTGTCATTCGTGGTGGTGACTGAGGTCACAGCCTCTCCTCTGTCCCCCTACGTTCTGAGGCGCCTGGCTTTTCGGCCTTGGATGGGTGAGCCCCTGGCCTAACTCGGGCGTCACGGGCGGCGCTGGCCTGGGCTGTGCAGAGCTGAGCCTCGACCTGGGCACCTCGAAGGCCACCTCCGGCCTCCGTCCACCCCACTCCGGCCCATCGAGGTGGCTCAAGTCAGCCAGGCGCACAGCCGTGACCCCGCCTGACCGCGAGTGAATGGTCTCTGTTGGCGAGGGAAGGACGGGGCCCGGGCGACGCAGCCAGCAGGGGAGGAAGACCAGGCACCAGAGCAACGTCGCAGCACGGAACCTGGCCTGGACGTTTTCTGATCCCACCAGCCGCTGTTAGACACGGGCCGCCTCGGTGCCCCCCGCTTCCTTCCTCTCCCCCTGCCTCCCTCTGATCACCCGACAACGCGTACCCTGGGCAGGTGGATGGAGCCACTCCCTGAGCTGACGCCCGACTCGCCGTGAAACCACCACGGTGACACAGAGCTGGGCCCTCCCTGCTCGGCTGCCCATTGACTTTGGAAGAACAGAGTTCAGAGAAGACACCGGGTCCTCGCCAGCGCCCCGGTGCCCCCCACAAGCACAAAGAGTTTCTCAAAGTGCCATCGACACGTCGCCTTACCTGTGAGCGGGACCTGGGCCTGCAGGACGGCCGCGATGACGAGCACCTCCCACTGCATGCTGTCCTGGCCGGGATGGTGCTGCGACGCAGGGGCCGTGGCAGCCGTGCCGGGGCGAAGAAGACACAGGCGTGTGTGCTGCCTGGTTCTGTGTGGCCTCCCCAGGAAGTGGAGGCCCAGGGGCCTTCGAGAGGCAGCACCTCACACACCCAGCCAGGGACTCACACCCCCTCTCGGTTCGGCGCAGGAAGCTCTGGAGGTTTGAGGGTTTGGGGTGTGAGGGTGTCTGCCTGCCTGCCTGCCTGAATTTTGCTTTTTCTCTCCTTTAACCATTGTTTCATTTTCCTTTTCATCTTTTTTCCCCGAATTTTGGTCTCATTTCTGCCTAATTTCTACCTTGATTGGTGACGTGGTCCCCAGAAAAATGTGAGCCCCTGACTCATGAAGAACACTCGCTGTTTTCCTCGCCTGAGCCGCTTCACGCGGGTGACGGAGCTCGGGCTGGGGTCAGGCCCCACGCAGACGCCACCGCGCCTTCCTGCGGCTCTGACCGGCTGGCTGTGCCGGGCCGGCCGCACGGCACGAGGCTCCGGCCTCCCGGTGTCTACAGGAACTAATGGCGCAGACCTGAGCACAGTCCTGCACTGGCCTGAGCTGGGCGTTTCCACACTCCGAGGGGGGGATGTCAGGCGACACGGCCGTTCTGGAGGACAGTTCGGCGGGTTCTTAAAAAGTTGAACGTACACGTACCGTAGGGTCCAGCCACCCACTCCCAGGTGTCTACCCAGACAGAAGGAAATGTGCGGCCACAGAAACACTTACATGAATAGTCACAGTAAAGGGAGGGGGAGGGGGAGCGAGAAACATCAACATGAGAGAGACACACTGCCTGGCTGCCTCCCACAAGAGACCCAGGGACCTGCCCTAGACTGGGAATCGAACCCATTACCCTTTGGTGTGCAGGCTGACGCTCTAACCACTGAGCCACCAGCCAGGGCACGAGGCAGTTTCGCGGGTGATTGATATGACCCTTAACTCCCGAAAGGACATGGGTTAGAACTGTCTTCTCAGATGAAGATGGACCTGGTTTAAAGTGACAGTTCGGAATTTCCCTAAGAAATATGGACCTACCAGCGTGACACAAAGTAGACTGCTTTTGGGGGGGTTTCCAGCGGTGACACTGACAGTGCACTGTTGTGGGGAAGTGGGTCTCCTCTCCCCTCGCTGACTCGGCTCCGAGAAGGGCGGCTGAGCGGGAAGCACGCAGGGTCAGGGTGTGTGCGCAGTCTGCTGGCCCTGGAGGACTGACTTCTCCACCCGCCACGGGCCTGCAAGGAGACTGGACTGAAGACGGAAGAGACTAGGGCTGTTGGCGGTTAGCTCATCTCCGAGGCCAAACGCAGCCGCTGAGCCCAGTCGCTCCGGGCTCCTCGGTCACTCCCTCCTTCTACTTTTCTTTATTGGTTTTAGAGAGAGATGGAATATCAACTGGCCACCTCCTGCACGCCCCCCACTGGGGATCGGGCCCACAACCTGGGCATGTGCCCTGACCGGGAATCGAACTGGTGACCTCTTGGTGCAGGGGCCGGCGCTCAACCTCTGAGCCACACCAGCCAGGCCCTCCTTCTACTTTTCCTTTTCTGTTTCCTGGATCAGAGCCTTGCCCTCTGGGTCAAAGGCGGTCGGTCCTGTCCAAGGCACCACGCCCTTGCGGTCGAGGCCAGGGCTCTGTCCCCTCTTCAGCAGGAGGTAGAGTGCAGGGGCCCCGAAGCACATGACGTGCAGGGAGTGAGCCTGAGGCCAGGCCTCTGTGTCTCCTCCTGTCCCTGGGGTGCCACCTTTGGCCCAGTGTCATCTCATCCAGGCATCAGGTCCCCAGCCCCGCCCATGGTGTCACTCAGCTCCGCCCTGAAAAGGAACAGATACCTGCCCAAAAAGTGGTCTGCGGGGCCCTCTAGTGGCCAATCAGAACATAGCAGGAATATGTCCTGCCCACTCAACCTGGACCCCTGCTGTGACACAGCTGTTCTCTTCTCCATGGTAACGGTCTCTGACCTGAACACAGACATGTTTTCTTATGGCACCAAATGGTCAAGACAAAATTCTGGGTAAAGGAAGAAAAACAGGTGCCCTTGACCTAATTCCATCACAGGCACCTCAGCAAGGAGGAGCTGAGGGCTGACCCTTGACCACCGGGGCATTCCGGCCACGCCCCGGATTGTAGGCCTGATGAGCTGTGGAAGGGGGGATCGCATTGTCCCCTCAAAGCTTTGGAAGAGCCGGTGTCTGGTTCGCCGCAGGCTACAGTGAGCACGCAGAGGGTCTCCGGGACGGTGGAATGAACGGACATCTGTTTACGAGAACAAATCCAATTCATGTCTTTAAAATAATGCTTTTAATTATTGATGCTTTGAATAAGAAACCTATTTTACCAAGTTTAAGTGGAAAACATGTTTCTTTTTTTTTTCTTTTTGAAATCGGTTTTTTTTTTTTTTTCCCACCAGAAGCTGTTGGCCGGATTTCGGGTTCATTGTGTTGTTTTCAAACATAATGATGCATATCAGCTCTTCTCTGGGCCACTGAAGGGTTCCCTGGCTTGAGTCCCTCTTCACGAGGGATCTTATCTCGTCCCCTGGAACCATGGATATGCTATAAAACTATACATTTATAAAATTTAGCCACCTCATCTTCCAGGAAATCCGTGGCAGTCCGAATTGACCCTGTGACCAAGCCAACCGGCCGCGTGTGAAAGCCCGCGGGCTGGCGTCCCGGGACACCGTGCGCAGAGGGAGCCCTTCACGTCTGCACCAAATGTCCGAGAAACTTCACCCGTGTGGTCAGATAGCTGAATTCTGCTTCACCTACGGGAGAGAGAGGAAGAGGAAGTGTGTCATTAAACCGAGCTGACATATCTTAGAAGTTGATTCATTCTAGGGAGGACTAGAGAAACTTCTGATCTAACCGTTGAAGAGTTTAGTTACTTTCGGCCACTTCTGGGCGCTGAAGCATCGCCGAGACCCCTGAGTTCTGCTATCAACGTGCCTAGAGATTCTCGCGTCAGCAGCCCCCCTGTCCCAAGACCATGCTGACATGTCCGTAAGCGTGCGGGCCACAACGTCACTCGGCTGTGTGTTCTCATTCAAGAACACCTGAAGGTTTAAAAGTCAAAAACAGCTGAAAACAGATGCGGTCCCAAATACTAGGGCAAAAGAGTCTGAATCAGCCAGTGCCCGGCGATATCAAATCCAGGCAGGGAGGCGACTTTGACCCACTTTTCTGCTGCAGCCTTGACCACGGCCATCAGAGACCCCGTCTCCAGGTACGAGAGTCCAGGCAGGTTTGTAACCCGTGGCCTCCCCTTACCTCTGACCTTACTAGGGCCAGGCGGGCACACCTGGAGGTGGGCGAGGCCCATGCCCAGCTTAGCCGTGAGTGCAGGCGATTGCTGATTCTTACGAGAACAGCTTACTCGGGGTCAGCAGACACCTTGGTGGAGGTGGAAACAGTCACCCCGTGTGCAGATGCGCTCCGGAGGTCGACCCAGCAGCCCCGCGAGGCAAACCGGATCCCGTGAGGCCCCTCACTGCCTGGCCCGGTGGCCTCTGTGCTGAGGTCTCAGAAGAGGCCTCTGAGCACAGCAGAGTCCAGGGTGCAGATGGGGTGTGGAGACTAGCACCCTCCAAAGCTGATCTGGGCCAGCCCACCAAGTGGGGGAGCTCCGGCAGGCCCATGTGGCCCCTGGGGGGGGGTTCCCTGAGGACTTGAACGTGCAGGCCCTCGGCCCTTACAGATACTACTGTCCACTCTCCGGACCACTGGACAGTTCTGGGGCAATCCGGGTGGGCAGCGTGGTGGGGGGGCCACCCTGGACTCCGAGATGGACTATTAATTGTCAGACCTGTTCAGAAAGGTCAGCTTGGAGGCGCCGTCCATTAGGATTCTGGCTCACTGCCTCATTCCGAAGGGGCCACACCCTGGTGCAGTCTTTTGGTCCCCCCGCCCGGCCCCACCCCCATCAAAAGGACAAGGAGAAAGGACCCCCTCTTATCCCTGAGCTGCTGAAAAGGCCCCTCCTCCGTGCAGTAAAGTGGGAGCCTCACATTTATTTCACTCACTCAGCAGGGAGACTTACTACAAGAAAACACATTTTAATTCTGTGCCTAAAGCGAGCCCTGCCCTGGGCGTGGTGTTCACACGAAGAGAACCGCACTCCAGCGACAGTTATAACCTGGGAACGTCCACTTCGGCCCTGAAGAGCGCGCCTGGCATCTTACCGCCGTCTCCCGGGGCACTGGTTGCCTGGCCATCACGTCCTGATGGCCGCCTCTGTGTTCCTGTGAGGGACGGTGGCTCTGCCAGGCCAAAGACAACGCGACCACTAGCCTGCACCCCCCTCCCTGTGCCCAAGGAGTCCACGGCACGTGGAGTGGTCACCACCGCCCTGGCTGAAGGAAGGCACAAGCCACGGCGCGCAATGTGTGAACATACACTTAGTGAGACGTGACGTTGTAGTACGCCTCGGGCGTCACGATCTTGGGTCCCCCAAAGTAGTCCAGCACCCAGATGTTGGTTATGTTCAACTTGGCAAAGAACCACTGGTGGCTGGCCGGCCAGTCTTTCATCTCGGGGTGGCGAATGAACAATGACTGCTGGGCAGTGTCCCTCTCTGTCTCGTTCACCTGAAAGACACACGTGAAATGAACCTTCTCACGGGGGAACGTCTCAGTGTCTCGTCTGTTAACAGCGCGTGGTCCTGGCGTTTCACGGATGCTATGGCGTTTGCTTAGTCCCTGAGCCTCATTTTTGCTCATGTTTATTTTTTTTTTAAAGTGAAGATATAATTGACACATAGCGGTGTTTGTTTTCGGGGTACAACATAATGCTCTGATATAGTACAGGTGTGGGCAAAAGTGGGTTAACCGTTGTGTGCACGGAAAACAACACAATGAATAAATAACAGCCCCAGGGGAAACTGCTCCGTGTGCGCACACTGTCCGAGCTCTGAAGTGACCGCCGCGGCAAGTTCGGTCAACACGCATCACCTCACATCGTACAAAAACGTTCTCCGCTTCCTTTCTACTTTTTTGTTTTTCTGGTGGTGAGAACTTTTAGGATCTACTACAATCCTGACCATAAGCCTAAGGCACCGGAGAAGGAAGGAAGCCCGGACGAGGCAGACGGCAATGAGGATTCAAACGCTGGTGAGGACCGGGGCGATGACGGGGACACCATCGCCAGTCCTGGTTCCCGCTGCTGGACAGTCGTGTCGGGCTGTCAGGGAACCTGGCCCGAGGTACTAGAGCAAATGTGCCCGGTGCCTGTGACGGGCACGTCAGCTCGCTATCCCGGGATGAGCACGGTGGGACGTGAGCTGCGGTGCCCAGAGGGACGAGTCTTCAGAAGACACAGTGGAGTCAGGAGCCCCTGCTGCCCCGCCCCGCCCCCCTGCCCGGGAAGGACACGCAGCTTCCAGCCCCCAACAGGACTTGCCCGCGGGGCCATCTGCTGGCTCGGCCATCACATCAGTGCTCAAGGCACCTTGCCCTCTGCCCTTCCCACGGGTGAACTGAACCTCCTCCCTCCAGCGCTCACCCCAAACTGTCTGGAGGCGCACCCACGACTTAGTAACGGGTTCTCCCCTTCTAACCGACTCAGGACACTCCCTGACCTCAGCCACCGTCACAGGAAGGAGACAGGAACCCCAACACGGCGAATGCTATCCGGGGTGCAACACGGTCGAGAGAGGCAGCCTCGGTGAGCAGACGCTCCTCCCTAGGGCTTTACCGCGATGAGATCTGTTTGCCTAGACAACAGTTCCTTCTGCTCCTGGGCGTCTGAGGGAGCACCTACAGGAAGCGACCGATTGGGACCTTCCCTGCTTATAAAATACACATCGGAGCACATTCTAACTGCACCTCCATCACAAACCCCGTTCACTCTTTCTCCGCCTGGGTCTCCCTTCCCTGCTGACAAGACGGCGCTCGTCTAGACCGTCTCTGAACCGATTGGGACCTTCCCTGCTTATAAAATACGCATCGGAGCACATTCTAACTGCACCTCCATCACAAACCCCGTTCACTCTTTCTCCGCCTGGGTCTCCCTTCCCTGCTGACAAGACGGCGCTCCTCTAGACCGTCTCTGAACCGATTGGGACCTTCCCTGCTTATAAAATACGCATCGGAGCACATTCTAACTGCACCTCCATCACAAACCCCGTTCACTCTTTCTCCGCCTGGGTCTCCCTTCCCTGCTGACAAGACGGCGCTCGTCTAGACCGTCTCTGAACCGTTAGGTAGCTGCGCACCTTGGTCACGGTTCCCGCCAGGATGATGTGTGCGCAGAGCGGGCTCTGGGGGTCAAATCCATGTTTCCTGCAGAAGTTGGTCTGTGCCAAAGACATGGTCAGCGTGGCATATGGATTCTCCTGGAGGGAAATAAAGACCCTGTCGTGAAACGTCGTCTCTGGACGGGAAATGAGTTTCACAAGTCACATACACCCTGTCCCCAGAGCTTGACCGTGGTCCTTCCAGGAAACAGGGACGTGTAAAACACCACCTTCCACTTGGGACAATTACTATGTGGGCAGAGAGTAATCCTGACACTTTCTCCAAAAGGGGGAGGGGACATTCATATTTGGAACTATCAGACTCAGAAGTATTTTAATACTTCTTAAACTCTTACCTTGTCCCACTTTCGCCGGGGAACTTATAATTGCAGGACCACCCAAGTACAAGACTCCAGGCTTAGATGCTAAGGCGGAACCAGTGGATAACAACACCAGCTGCTCAACGAGCTCATGCTACAGTATCAGCAAGAAAGCGGCTGAGTCATGCTCCGAGGTTATCTTGCGTTGGCAGAAACGGCCACGGGATTTCAAACGGGGAAGCTGTCCTCTGCTCCTGCTCTGACAGCAGGGGAGGCACGCTTGGCTGCAGAGACAGGCGCGCGACATGCCTGTGCTTCCTTCCTCAGAAGTCAGCCGCACGGAGGCACTCTGACAGGCAGCCGGACAGCCACACTTTGTGTTTAGACTGCTCAGCTCTTTGGCTCAAAGGGTCTCGTGTGGGGCACTCTGCCATCTCACGGTGACTCAGCAAAACCGTGAGCCAGAAGAGACCTTCTTGGAACCACTTAGCCAAATATTTGCTGTGGGCACGTGATGAGGCAGGCCACCCAGGAGAGGCAGAAAAAGAGGGGGCGGGGGCTGGGACAAGGCGTCCCCCTTCTGTGAGTTTACAGTCTGGTTGAAAAGCCAGACAGACAAAGCTTAAATAATGCAAAACAAAGATACAGAAGACATCAAAAGGCAGCAGAGAACTAATCGCCAAGTGGCTGGGACAGTTAAGTGGTTTCAAGTCTGGTGTAGAGCCCTTGGCAGAGCCCAGAGACACAGGGCTGTCGGGAGTCTTGTACGGTCTTCCAACCAGGGAGTTCACAGTCAAGGGGCCTTGACTGCAGAGGCAGGACTGGGAAAGGGTAACAGTGGTGAGAAACCCAACTTGCTAGAAGGAGGGGCTTTCTGGGGGAGCGGGTGGGGGGAGGGTGGCTCAAGCCCAAGCTCAGCAGTCAAGATGGTATTTTGTAGGCTGGCATTGGGTGAGGATTTTTTAAAATGCTGATTTTTGGGCTCCCTTCCTAACCCAGGTACATGCATTTTATTTATTTTTATTTTTTATAGTGGTTCATTTTTTTGAATCCTGAGGATATGTTTATTGATTTTTTAGCTAGCAAAACATCTTGTACGTACCCCACACTGGGGACTGAACCCACAACCTAGCTTTGTACCCTGACCATGAATCAAACCCACAACCTTTGGTGTACAGGATGATGTTCCGACCAATGGAGCTACCTGGCCGGGGCGGGTACATACATTTTAATCAAACACCCCGGGCCCTGGCTGGTTTGGCTCAGCGGTTAGAGTCGGCCCGTAGACCAATGAGTCATGGGTTCAATTCCGGTCAAGGGCATGTACCTTGGTTGCGGTTCATCCCTAGCCCTGGTCCGGGTCATGCGGGAGGCAACCAGTCAATGTGTCTCTCTCACATCGGTGTTTCTCTCTCCCTCTCGCCCTCCCTCCCACTCTAGCTGAAGACAAATAGAAAAATGTCCTCGGTGAGGATTAAAATAATAATAATAATAATAATAACAATAAAGTAAAAAATAACAAACACCCCGGGTGGATCTTCTGCTTCAGATGTTAAAGGTTTCTGAAGAGAAGGCAATCCTGACTGCTCCATGTCAACCTGGTAGGCAGGTGGATGGGAGCAGACAGAGGTCAGACAGAAATGGGGGGGGGGGGCAGGAATTGCGGACCAGCCTTGCCTGGTTAACGTAGGATCCGAGCCAGACGACGTAGGTGGCCTCACCTTCCCACTCCATCGCGCAAACCTGAAACCCTGGGCAGGTCCTCACCCCTGTCTCTTCCCAGATTCGTCAGACCTGGGCTGGAGTCCTACCTGCCAGCCACCAGGGGGCTGGTCACGGCTGGGTCCCGGCCCCTCCGACTGTGTCATCATCACAAGTTCAAATATATCCTGTACAGCAGTGGCACTCAACCACCTCCCCTCATCAGAAGTGTCAGGAAGGGTTTGGGAGGGAGGGTTGGTTAGTAAAACACATTTTAATTAAGTGCCTCAGCATTACATTTTTTAAAGTCTTCCCAGGTGACCGGATTTGCCATCAATGCTGAGCCTGCTCTCGGGGTGGCGAAAGCCTGCTCTGAGCCCACGCTCGGGGGTGGAGTGGGCTGGGAACAGCGCAGGCGCGCCGGCGTGAGCCCAGCTAAGGAGAAACTTCTGCTTTCGCTCAGACGGTGCAGACCTGTCACGGGATCTCCAATTTTTCAAGAAGTTACAAGTTTAGAGTTTTAATTGCAATCTCAATTGTTAAACGATGGTAACTAACTCAAATTTATTTAAAAAACAAAACAGGCCCTGGCCGGTTTGGCTCAGCGGTTAGAGCGTCGGCCTGCGGTCCTGAGAGACCCGGGTTCGGTTCCCGCTAAGGGCACATACCTTGGTTGCAGTTTGTCCCCAGCCCTGGTCGGTTGTGCGGGTGGCAGCCACTCGATGTGTCCCTTTCACATCGATGTTTCTCTCTCTCCCTCTCTCTCCCTCCTACTCTATCTGTGCAAAAAATGGAAAAATGTCCTCGGGTGAGGATAAAAAACAAAACAAAACAAAACAGAACTCTGTGTGGGCCAAAGGAAGCTGGTTGGTGGACATGTTCAGTCCGTGAGAAACGGGTCTGTGACCTGTGTTAAAGGCAGGTGGACCTGGGGTGAAATTCCAGTTTGGCCACTGGCTTTGGGAAAGTTATGTGACTGACCTACGCTTTAGAATGAGGACAGTAAAACCTCCTCAAAGGGTTGTCAAGAGACAATGACTGGAAAGTGATGGTCCTCCTGGCGCCTGGGAGGTGGGCCAGGCACTCAATCAAATATCACTTTCTTTCCTCTCATCCTCATCAACACCGATGTCCTTTCCCAGTTAACCCCGAATCTGGGATCTCTGTCAAAAGACCCTTCACCAAATGGGGCTTCAATCTGGGACCGTGTGGCTCTAGCCTCCCAAGCTGTCTGTCTGTGACACTCTCGTGGGCTGACAGCCGTCCCCCTAGTTGTAAACCTGGCCCCCAAAAGGTGGACAAGGGTGAGGGAGCCGGATCTCCCATCGGTTCTGGCTCCCACCAGGCCCCCAATGTGCACAGGGTGCCTAGAGGTTGCCGGGGTGGCCCGCAATGTGGGATAGCAGCTTCCTGGTGCAGAAGGGAGCGTTCCTAACTCAGAAGGAGGGGTGAGCCGGAGAAACCCTTAAGCGTCCGAAATGCTTAACTTTCCAACAATCTCGACGCCCGACGCGCGGTGGAGCGTTCCCGGTATTCAGCTGCCGCCCGGGCCAGCGCGGAGCGCAGTCCGAGGTGTGAGCCGGGTGCCCCTGGGCAGGTGCAGGGACGGGGAAGGCTGGCCCTGCGGCCCGGGGCCCACGCTCACCTGCAGGTTGCCCACCAACTGCTGCATGGGGCTCAGGTAGAAGTAGGGCACGCCGCTGCCCGCGCCCGGGGGCCCGTCGCTGAGCGACAGGACGTCGGCGAAGGGCCAGCCGCGCACCGCCTCCTGCGTGGAGACGGTGGCCAGCGCGCCCCAGTCGCAGATGTGCGTCACGAAGCGGGCCACGCGCGCCGCGTCCTCGCGGGGCGGCAGCGGCGGCAAAAGCAAGTCCGCGTCCCAGTCCCCGTGGCCCCGGCCACCCCGGCCCGAGGCCGGTGCCACCAGCAGCGCCACCAGCAGCGGCGCCAGCAGGGCGGCGAACAGCGCGCGCACGGACCCGCGGACAGGCCCGGCCATGGCGGTGACTCCGGCGACAGTCCCGGCCCCGCGCCCTCCCGCGGCCCTGTACTCGCCCGGCGCCCGGGCCCCGCCCACAGCAGTCAGGCCCCGCCCCTTCCGAGGGGAGCCAATCGGAGCCGGGGGCGGAGGGGGCGGGTCCCTGGTCGCCCAGCAACCTGCGGGCTTGGTCTGTCTGTCTTCCCGCAGCTCCACCCACCGATCTGTAAGGATTGAGAAACGGTCCTACGTGGGAAGTTGTTTGTTTGACACTCGAAGAAACGGAGACTCGTAGGAATCAAGTGACTTGGTGAAATCATCCTTCTGGAAGGGGACCAGCCTCTGCGCGCGCGCACGTACACACAGGAGCAGACAGGCGTCTTCCTTGAGCACCTTTGGGTGTGGGTCTCTGGCACCGGGGGAAATGCTGTCTTTTCTACCCAAATTTTCCCTTTTCTGTTTGCGTCGCTGTCCGCACCAAAGAGTAGCAAGGGCCCCAGGGAAAGGACAGAAGCCCCAGAGTTTAGGACTTATACTCTACTCCTGGCCCGGGACGCTCCTGGACAGGGGCACCAAGTGGTTGATTGTCTTCATTATTCCGTGCGGGAATTTGAGCTAATGGAAACCATCTGGGGACCTGTTAAGTCATCAGGCTCCGGGTCAGTGGTTTCACACATTTCTTGCTCTTGCTGACTCTCCTCACCCCATGTAAACAGCATTTCCGTTCTCTCTTCCCTACAAGGTCCCCTCCACTCGGGGTTCACTCTTCCCTGCAAGGTCTCTTCCATTGGGGGGTGCCTCCTCATTCTGATAGTCTGGGAACTGGTCAGTGAGCTCTTACCTGCTGACCCACATCCTTGAAGATTGCGAGCTTTGCCCTGGCCGATTTGGCTCAGCGGTTAGAGCGTCGGCCTGTGGTCCAGAGAGACCCGGGTTCGGTTCCCGCTAGGTGCACGCACCTCGGTTGCAGTTAGTCCCCAGCCCTGGTTGGTCGTGCGGGAGGCAGCCACTCAATGTGTCCCTTCACGTCGATGTTTCTCTCTCTCTCTCTCTCTCTTCCTCTCTCTCTCCCTCCCACTCTATCTGAACAAGAAATGGAAAAATGTCCTCAGGTGAGGATAAAAATAAAAACAAGATTGCGAGCTTTGGTTATATATCCTCAGTGAGTCCTAATCTCGTGGGCCTGGCCTCAAGTCCCCGCCTTAATTGTCAAGAATGCTGTGCCTCCTGCCCCTGCAGGGTTTTGTCAACTCGTAATTCTGGCTCTGCCATCACCTGGCCCTGGGAGGCTGTGGTTCAACAGAGGTGAAGTTATTTCACGTGGCAGCTGGGGCCAGCTGTGAGCAGGTGTGTGGGTCCCAGTCTCTACTTCCCGTCTCAAACTCAGCTCCCTCCGTGTAGCCCAAGTTCCCAGGTTCCTCCGTCAAGTTCACTCCAGGAGCCTGGATGTCACCCCCAAAGCTCTCATTTTCAGGTGGAGGGGGTGCACAACCCTTGCTCAGAGTGGGTTTCCTTCGAGCTGGATGGAAAACCACATGGGAGACATTTCGGAGGAGAATCGAGGGTATCATTCTCAAAACAAATACTTCCTCCAAATAGAGTGGGTGCCTGCCGGTGACAGACCGTTCATCCCAAACCTGCTGAGGAAAGAACGTATCCATGACTGCAAAGCTGGAATTCCAGCGTCACCCTGCCACCCTCCAGCCACGTGGCCACGGGACTTGGGGCTCATCTTTCTGAGACCGTTTTCTCATCTGAAAGGAGGAGTTGGGTTAGACAATCCGACCCCTCTTCTGGCTCTATAGTCTATTTTTCTGTTAACATGCCTTTTATAAGTTTCATACGTGAATCATTTTTTTGCAAGAAGATAAAAAATTATTTCTGTTTACCGCTGGGCCACTCTGTGCCGGTGTGTGCACAACCGCAGCAGGGCCCATGACAGCTGCGTCACAAAACCAGTGCCTGGGGCTTGTCTCCTGCACCAGAGCAGGACAAGGAAGCACCTCCCCTGGGGGTCTGTTTCTGCACTGGCTGTTCCCCATGCCCAAAATGCTGTTCCCTCAGCCCACGCCCATCCGGAATCTGCTCAGATGTCACCCCTCAGAGGCGCCTCCGTGACCACTCTTTCTAAGAGGGCTTCCTCTCCATGGACCACCCTCCCTATTTCTGTCACAGTGATCACCACAGTGTAATCACCACTTGTATTTATTTAGTGACTTGAGAGTTGTGTCCCCAGCTAGAATAAGCTCCAGGAGAGCGGGATTGCTGTCTGTCTTGTCCACCTCTGTCCTATATCCCCAAAGGCACGGAGTAGGCGCTCAGTGAATATTTATCGAATGACTGCCCGGGTTCATAAATCTCTGATGAAATTCTTATAAAGTCAACAATAGGAAGTAACAATGGAATGGAGGCACCGAAGAATAACAGTGGGTGCTCCTGCTCTTAATGAGCAAACCCTCGTCATGGGAACACTGGGGAGAGCCCGGAACCGGGAGTGTGCTGGTTCACCTCCGGACTTCCCGTCTCTATCTGAACAGCCCCAGCGGGAATACGATCTCCCTATGTACCTGGGTTGAGTCCTGGTCAAGAACCCCCCCCCCGCATGCTCCCCTTCCACGTGGGGTGACCTTGTTTACTTGTTTGGGTCCCTTCCAGCCCTGGTGTCATTGGGTCAGGCTAAGTGGCTTCATCATGTCCATGTCCCAGGTGTCCAGCAGGCACGCAGGACACGCCGCTGACAAAACGAATTGTACGGGGACGGTCACAGCCATCGCCGGCGGGTCTCAGGCGGTCTGCTGTGGGGGCTTTCTGCTCTGTGCAGGGCACACTTGAGACAGCAGGTAGCTGGTGAGGGGGAAGGGAGCCACTTCAGTGTGACCTCGAGAGGATGCGTTTCCTCGTCATTAAAAAGGGGAAATGATAGCTCCTACCTCGTTGGTTTTATGGGGATGAAATGAGAAAATGCAATGGAAATGCCCGGCCCAGCACCCAGACCGTAGCAAGTGCTCAGTGATTGCTAGCTGTGTCAGTAGGGACCCAGCGTCTGCTTAACCCTTCGTGACCACGTAAATCGCTTCATTTAATCTCCTTTTGAGATCCAATGCTTTCCACTGTGACCTCTGTAAAATAAAAATTAAAAAACCCTCCTGAAAAAATAACGACAACATGTGAAGTCCCCAAGCAGCTACTAAGTGTTCTAGGCAGTTGGACACAGAGCTAGGACACGGGCCGGTGCAGAAGGTGGCGGGGCAGAAAGCCCAGGAGCCTAGCGAGGGGCAAAACTGGAAAATAAGAAGCTGGTCCCCAGGGTGACCTTTCCTTCCTAGCAGGTCACTCACTGGTCACGTGGCTGAGACCCCCTGACCTTCCACGTCGCTGGATGACATCGAGACCTCAGCTGTGTTTCAGCTCCAGGCCCAGAAAAGCAGCAAAACCAGACAAGTGACGAGGTGGCTGCCTGGACCAGCTGCATCGACTAATGACCCCTGCCTGGCGCCGGCCAATCAGTGGAGACCGAGCCTGAAAGCGCACACCTGGAAAGCTGATGATTATTCTTTTGAGACCCTCCCCTAATATTCCGCTGGCCAGAGAGAGAGAAATACGCTTGGGTTAAAGGCCCAGCTAGCTCTCCCCCAGGGAGCACACCTGTGCCATTATTCCCTTCCCCTTCTTCCCTCTGAGGGACCCCAGGAGACTTGCAACCAGGGGGCAGCGGGCAGCCCCGGCTCCCCCCTGAATCTGTCTCCGAGGCCCTTTGCTCTGAGGTCCAGTGAGCCGAGCAGCCGCACCAGGTCTCCTGTGGCTTCTTCCCCACCCTCCCTTGTCGCACTGTCCTGAGGAGTGTGTTTGCCGCAGCCAGTCCACTCTCACCGCCTTACTACACTTGTCTCGTGATTGGAATCTTTCCTTCGGGAAGACAAGAACTGAGGTCTCGTCGAACGAGGCGGGGGTCATGGGAGCCAAGTCAGGCAGAAGGGTGGGTAACAGGGGGATCCGTTCCTTTCCATTGGCATCTGACGTGGGGCGCCGTGTTGTGGGACTGAGCCCCTAACCTGCGGTCTGGGCTAACTCCAGCAGCTGGCGTCAGATCGAACTGTGGACGCCCCAGAGGTGCTGACGATTGGGGAACTGGTTGATGTGGGGAAAACCCCACATTTGGTGTCAGAAGTGTTGTGAGTGGAAGACAGTTTTCTTTTAGCCATTGATGGGGGGCAGGATGTGTGTGTGTGTGTGTGTGTGTGTGAAAGAGAGAGAGGGAGGGAGGAGGAAGAGAGAGGCAAGGAGGGAGGGAGGGAGGAGGAAGAGAGGGGCAAGGAGGGAGGGAGGCGGAGCAGAGCAGGTGGTGGTAACACTACACCTGGTGTGACTACACCCCACTGACACTCCCCCCTTGTCCTGCTAGAGCCCCTCCCCCACTCGCCACTGCCCTTGCAAGGGTATCTGGGCTTCTGCTAACCCCTTTGGATGCATCTGTGGGGGCCACGATGGCAGACCCCCAATTCCTGGCAGGGGGCTTCTGCCGTCTTCTGTGACGATGGTCCCCTTTGTCTCACACTTTTAGATGGTGGCCTGTGAGGACCTGGGACCAAGGGCCAGCGCACTCACACTGAGGGTGAAGCACAGGAGCGAGCGGGGTGTGGGTGGCTGTCACTGAAGGTCCGGGGGGATGGGGGCTGCACCTGGGCCCCAGGGGCGCCCCCAGGCGGTTCCCTCAGCCCCCTGCGCTCTGCTCCTCCCTGAGCGGCTTCATTCTTCATTCTGAGCCCAGGTGGGGACAAACGCCAGAGACTCACGGTGTCGGGGGCAGAAAGAGCCGCCACTCAGGCAGTTCTCAGAGGGGCTTTGGAGTTGTTCTCAGGAGACCAGCTCAGGTCGGTGCCCTGTGGTAAGGAGGGGGTGGACCGCGGCCACTGGCCCGAGTCCCAGGCTCCTGGGTGTGTGACCGAGACAGGGCGCGGGGGGCGGGTGCTGGGGGCCCAGCTCATCATTTGTCCCCAGCCCGTTTCAAAGGCACAAGAAGCAAA